AGGGTTGTAGATCTCATAGGAAAATTTGACTTATTACTATTTCTTATGGGTTTTTTTTAAATGTATCAATTTCAGGGTGGTGCTATGTGATGAAAATGATCTCTTACTGCTCTACAAGATGTCTAAGACGCAGAGACTCTTTTTTATAGCAATAATTATTCACGTCTGTTCTCTCATAGCTAGGATTTCCAAAGAAGGTTATTTGATAATTCCAAATTGCATGGTGACCCTCTTTTTAGTGACCCTCTGATACCGTATTTTACCTCCATCCTTTGGAGAAAAGTTTATGTATTCTTTCAGCACTTCTCATCACACTGCTATTTTTGCAAGAAACATTTTTTTCATATAGGCTACATTTATCACATTCAGATTGCTGATTATGAAGATAATGTAGCAATCATTATTCATGTTGCTAACCATATAATTTTGCTAAAAAAAAAACCCCCAGCAACAGAGCAAAGTTTTGTCCTATTTGTTTATTGCATTGAGTGATATTTTTTCCACCTGTTATTTACTCTGAACAATTATTATTGGCACAGTATCACTATGCCAAAGGATAGAGCCTGAATTCTTTACTATTTTCTGGATTAGCCCAATTGTCACTAGGGAGACTACTTGTGGAATGAAGAAATCAGATTTGGCCAGAAAGGATGATCTACTCGTAATTTCTAAAGACCCTGCTTAAAGATATAATTACTGTAATATATTTTATTCTTCTTGCTTCATAAACATTTTGAGAAACCTGAAGGAAGAGAGTTGTACCTTAGAGTATGACTATTGGTTAAGGACACAGCATTCGTTATTTTTTGACTGCTGCACAAGCACTTTGGTATGCACTTCTGCTTATTCTGGTTTGATTTTGAGTATTGTGTGGTATGTATAATCCCAAGGCAATTTTAGATGAGACATTGAGAAATAAAATTACTGGACGGAAAATGTCCATTTTTTAAAATCAGTCAATTAGTTTGATAACTGTTCTTGTTAATGCATTTGTTCATCTCAAGATATTTAGCCATTAATTCTTCTGAGATTATTCAAGTAGTAAATCTATTAACATCAGTGACACCTTGTCTGGATCTGAAGCCCTCCCTCATGGCTAGCAAAAAACTATTTACTCACTTAGGAGCCAATTTTGACATGTTTTACAAATCCTTGACCAATTCTGTGATTTTTGCGGATGCTTTAAAATTGACTTCTAGTCTATCTTGTTTAAAAATAAGTTAAAAAGTCCTTCTTTCTTCGAATGAACTGCTATTTTGACATAATTCCAGTTTCTATATTTTTCTTTTTTCTTTTTTTTCTTCTTTTTTTGGTTCAAGTTTCTGCAAAAAAAATGGCAAATAATTGCAGACCTATTTTGTTTCAAATGAGGTGTCTACTGTAGAGAGAAGATTTCAATCTGACTACAGTGAAGGAGCTACACTAGGCTTCAGAAACTGATTTCAATGTTGTTCATATGCTGTTAAATCTCTTAGAAATAAATATGTCCAAGTTGCCATTCCTTGCGAAGAAAATGTAGAAATCTTATGGATTACACAGTAAGCAAGCAGATTTCAATATTGCATAAGGGACAGACTGATTTAACTATGTACATACAATGTTGTGTCCTGAAAATCAGATTTTTGATCAAGATTTTCTGACATAGAAAATCTTACATTATTTTTTATTATTACCTAAGGATAGGAAATAGAACAGCAAATGGCTCGGTTTTCAAGATCTACCATGATTTTGTTTTTAGAAATAAATCGTAATTCTGAGAGATAATCTCATTTGTTGACTGATCAACTAAGTCTAGTTTATGTGAGGCTAGTATTATAAAGTGAAAACTGCTATATCCTTAGATCCTTTATCTAGACATAGTTAGATCCACCATTAGGTCCATCATTCCTCTTTAAATAGTCGGTTTAGTGTTCTCTGTCTTGATTCCCTGCTTTAGAAGTTGAGAAGAGCATTTTAGTGCCTTGTTGTTTTTCACCACTATCATGGACAACTTGCTTTATAAAATAACAGATTGTTCAGATTCCAGATTATAAAGAATGTAGCTCTCAGGATTCCTGGAGGTCTTCCTGAAGTCTTGGAACATGTTTTTCTAAGACTTTACACTGGCTCCCAGTGAAATTCCTGAGGTGGTATAAAATCTACTTTTTTTTTTCCTGAAGCATATTACGTGACTGTACAAGTATCCCCTATCTTGCAAACCCTTAATGCTCCTTACATTCCATAAGGTTTTTTTAATCTTCTTTTTCAGTAGTTTTTACCAACTCAGTTGGATAAACAATTACTGTCATTCTAGTCCAACAATCTAGTGTGAGAAATCGCACCATAAGAAAAAAAGTACCTATGGGCATATTAGTGTTTTAAAAAATGATTAGGGACAGAAGGCATAAGCTCTCATTAAGTACAACAGAATATTTTAAATATCGTAATACCCTTATATCTTGTAGCCAAAACCAGAGAAATTGAATGGCTGTGAATTGATAGAGTTTGAAAGAAATGACAAAAAAATCTGGCTACAATTAATGAGATGTTTATTTAGAACTCACCTTCCTTCTTGAGATATTCCATCTCCTCTTTCTGTTTCAACCACAAACATGAACAGGACTTTCTGTGTTGACTCTAAAAAAATGCGTGCCGCTTCCTGTGATGCCCCAGATGTTGGTGGAAAGGTGCTAGGTTACATCAGCCTTCCCATGGTCCACACAAACTCACTGGGAAATGTTCTCCTGTGGAAAATTTACATTCAGAATTAAAATCATATTACTGCAAAGGAAATGAGAAAAATATGTATAGTTCCGTGTTTTTTCACTTTTGTTTCATTATGCCATACAATCTTGTCACTTAAAAGAATTCTGACATTTTCAGGCAACTCCTACTTATTTTCAAGCATATGGTTTATAAGGCTGTAGGAAAATAAAATGTGTAAAAATGAGTTACATGTGATTGAATGTCGTATATGTCCCAAGTTTTTCTCTTCTGTATGGAATGACAGACCATGATTCTGCAACTTGTTTTCATTTTCAGTAATTCCACCAACACAAGTTAATTTCCATTGTTTAATACCCAAGAATTTATATCTACATGCACACAGAACACAGGCTAGGAGGGAGGTTTTCTATAAACAAATTGACTACTGGTTTGCAGTAACTCCTCTGCACCTACTGCCTTCCCCTAAAGCTGCAGCTTGTGGAAACTGAAATTTATCACCTGGAAAACTAAACTGGTGCATCTTGAATGAAAAACAAAGTCTCCATTTCTTCACAGATTGTCTAATGTATTCACTGATTGCTTTCTAATTGCTTGATTTTGGCTCACAGGATAAGCAGGATTCTACTTCCATGTGTAAGTGCCATAAAGCACTGATTACCCAGGTATTTCCAAAAAGACATTCGTTTGACAAAACAAGTCCTGGAAGGTGTGAACAGTGCGTGTGGGATGCCACTCTGTGCAACATTCATTTCTGTACATCAAACAGAGAGACGAGTGAGATTTTTCTGTCTTCCCTGTCAGGAAGACTTAAAACATTTCTGCATGTTTGTTGTTGCCCTCGGTGTGTTTTATCAAATTATTTCTCTTTGAAATTTCTTGTAACATGACTATGTAACTTGTAGCTCTTGTAAATTGTTTTAATTGTATGGAGTCACTCCATGTGACAGCAATGTCCCCCTCATCCCAGATTGTGACCCATTCACAGTCACCCCTGAGCTGACCTTCCCCACACACTTACGGCTGTTGTTTTGGTGTACTTTCTACCAACAAATGGAAACAAGAGCCCAAGTATAATCCCATGAAGATAAGTGCTGAGTCTGAGTCGCTTTTCTGGCGGTCCAAATGACTTCCTAGTCTGAGAGACACAAGAGCATGTCTTAAGAAACTGAACCAAAGTTTCCCAGGTTTTCAATGACTGCCAGTCCTGGTCAACGTAGACTGCCAGTTCTGAGTCTGATAAACTTCATTCTGGTCTGTCTTCATCATTACGGCTGAGTGGAATTGTGGCAGTGTGTGCAATAGGGGCAGATAATGATCCTCTGAGAATGATACTTAGTGACTGGTGTTCTACACCACAGTACTTTTTTCCTCTTCATTATTTGATGGCTCACTTTATCATTCCCTCTATTAAACTGCATTTTTAAAGACAATGCTAGAAAAACTGAAAAATTGGAAGGAGAAAGAAAAAGTACCCCAATGATTGCGCATGTAGATCATCTTTTAAGTGAAGAAATTCTCCTTGATGTGGATATAGAAGAAACAGGAAAACTGCAATCCCTAAAGATTTGCCCTAGTCCTACAAGATAAACGTGTATTAAAAATAGTGAGGATACAGATGGCATCTTCTTTCATGTTCTGGGTGGACAGGTTATTAGGAATCCCTTAAAGGAGTACACATCTGTGCAATCAGCTACTTGTTCTACAGTCCCTTAAAGGAATACATATCTGTGCAATCACGTACTTGCTCTGTAACTATCCAGCTCTCCAGATGCAGTGCTGACTGCTTGGTCCTCTTGAAAAATACGCATAGACCCTCAGTGAATTCCAAGACCAGGGGTAGTAGGCAAATTAATAACAAGAGAGGCACCTGAAATAAGTTCAATAGGAACTGGAAGTCTAAAGCAATTGCCAGCTTGAGCTAGCAGATAGTGAGGTTGAGTAGAGCTTTTCAGCAAGCCAGAAGTTTGATTTCTTCTCCTTTGCACTGATTGGAGTGCAGTAGTTGGTGGTCATAAAAGTTGCCTCTGTGTGAAATGTGCTCCTTCATCTTCCCTTAGGTTTTATACGATAGAATGTTATCATCTGTTGTTGCAGTCTGCTTATTGCAAACCTCACAGATGTATAAATAATTTCATGTAGTATTTCTGTAAAATTAGGACATGTTGTTTTGAATGGAGCAAAGGAAAGCTGATGGTTGTTTTGCTTTGGATACTTTTCAGCTTACATGACCTTGTATCCCTACATCCTGGTAAAATATGTCTGATCTGTGACTTTGTCTTTCCCCTTTTTCATAGTCCATTTCTGACCTGGAGAGACATACAGCACATTATTGTCAGGACTTCACGTGCAGGACATCTGAATGCTAATGACTGGAAAACCAATGCAGCTGGCTATAAGGGTGAGAGCTTTCTTTCTTCTTTGCCATCACAAACAATATATTATTTGATATTTTTGAAGAAGAAATAATCTCAAGTAGTTTGTCTGACCCCCTATGCTGTGCATAGTTTGGAGACTTTTCAGTCTCAGTCTGATTGGACCTATCTTCTTTCTCTTACATAAGGGAAACCTTTTAGAAGGACTAAACCAAAAAACGTCAGCTACAAAATGCATTGGCCAGATCTTCTTTAAATCCCTTTAAATCCTGTCTCATGCACTGCTGGCAGAAGACAAAGTAAATTAGTGGTGTCTAATTTTTCCTTTTATAGCTAGTGTTCTGATAAAATAGTCTAGAGTTGAACATGCAGCAATTTCTGAATTTCATCCATGTTCTTATTCAGAATTACTGACAATTTTGATTTAAAATGACAAAATGGTATTTTCAAACTTCTTTTTTTTTATTATCAACCCTATATTATTTATATGTAGAATTTCTGTCAGATTTAGGATAAAATCAAATCTTCAGCTATCATGACTTTTAGTGGGGCCTACTATACTACTCAGTCACCTGTCATGTAGTTTTCTAAAATCTTGTACAGTCTTGTAAATTTGATTAAAGCTACATCTTTTAAATATGTTTTCTTTTTTGTAATGCAAGTAGAGGTAAATGCTTGTGCCATTAAATAGGATATATATTTTCAAGATGGGTTAAAACTGAACCTTGAATCCTTACAATGTTGTATTTCAACGCAGATTGTCTGCTGATTCCCATTCACTACATTATTACTGCTTTCAATTTGTATTGCATCCAAACAAAACCCTAGAATGGCTTCTTTCTGATTTTCTTTTCATGAGAATTCCACCCGAGACTGACATAGTTTTTCAAAGATGAGAGTTGATCTGTTTTGTTCCAAGATCTCCCAAGAGATAAATGTAATATACAAGAATCATCAAATCTTTAACCCGGTTTCACTTTAAAACTGAAGCCTAGATTTAATCTATTTCAGATCAAGGCACTGTTACCACAGAGCATCTTTTAATATATAATTCTGACCTATGACATTTCTGCTGCAATGGAATAGAAATCAAACAAAAAAAACCACTTGTTTTTTGATCCAAACCTTTCTATCCTCTCTAACTACAGAGGATAGATTTAGAAATAGATATTTAACTTGAGCTTCCTAATCATTTGAAGGTTCATATGTTCAAGGGCCTGATTTTGTCCCAGTTAAAAGTGCATGTCCACACACAAAAAACATACATAATGAGAAATACATACTTCCTTAATTGCAATAACATTACATAATTGTTATTGTAAAACATCTCCCAGGATTTAAAAAGTTTTGGCAGGAGATCGTTACTGTGTTGTTACTGTATCATCAGTTTGTTGAAGCTATATGAAGGTCAAAGAACACTTTTCAAGTAGCATAAAGCAGAGGTTTTTTTTTCTATAACTCACTTCCAAATTCTATATTTTTATGTTTTTCCAGTTGTTGCCTAAGAGAGTCAAACACCCTGGGAGACATTTCACAGCAGCTGTCACTCATTATCAAAGGAAAGGTCACACTAACACACCCAGCAGTAGCAGTATTGGCAGCAGGACTTACACTGTGGGACCATTGGAGCCTGCTTATTCTGAATCCGTGGAGCCACACATTTTTCTATGCATTATAGCATGTATATATCTATAGTAAAGAAAAGGGGTGGAAGAAGGTTTCTTCTCCACCTGTGTTAAGTCATGAATATAGATAAGCTCAGCTGGGTAACTCGGATTCAGAAAAAACAGCTTGACCTGGCAAAACTCCACTGTGGACTCCATGGTGGAATTGAAAAAGAGGAAGACAATCTAAATGCCTTTACCTCTGTACAGCTCAGGAGTCAACCTTAACCCAAATAAAAACAGTAGTTTTAGCTTAAATTATTTTGGCAACTTAGGCTGAGCACATGGTTCCAATAACAATACAGCTCTCTTTAAACCTCTATTGGTTTTGGAAGAAGGAGAAGAAAAGATTTAGATTAAATCACAACATCTGAACCTGAATTAAAAGGGGGGTTTGCACACTGCTGCTTGCAAGACTGAAACAGGTTTTTTTACTATTGCACATGCCAATATTTAGTATAATATTACACTATTATCCTTCACTATCACAAAGATAGTGAACCCACATAGAACAATTGAAGTATGGTTTTTCATAGATGAACTACTCTGATCAGAATGGGTTCCTTAAGGAATTGTATCATAATTTTGTTGATAACAAGATACATATTTCTTCCACAGTATATTCCTAAGAAGAGAAGGGATGGGAGATTATTTTTAATTATCTAAGGAAAGACAGTCACAAGTATCAATCTGCTTTTCTTCAATGCATACTAGTGGAGGAAGAAGAAAACGAGAATAAAGAGAGAGACAGGCTTGCCCCTTTAGAAATGAGAACTGAAAGGGTAAAAAACAGCAAAAACTTGGAAAAACCTCTCACTCAACAAAGGGTCAGCAAGAGCTGGTAGTTGAAAGTGGGTCAGCATGCCATTTCAGAGGGCTGTTTTGCTGGTCTGCATGGCAACCCTCTCCCTTTCTATAGTCCCTGGCAGTGTTTTGCTACTGCAGAACACACAGAAGGAGCTCATGGATGTCATTACTGGTTTCAAGTTCTCCTTTTTTTACTGTCTTACATTTATACAAAGGAAGATTAATTCATGAAAAACACTTGAGCCAACTAGTGATTTGCTAAAGCGGTTCTGGTTATTTGTTTAATTTTCTGGCAAGTAAACAACATTTGTTAAATGCATGTCAAAAGAATTAGGAATGAACAAGAATTTTTTTCTTTTTTTTTTTTTTTAGTTGTTTTCTTGTGAGACAGCATGTATTTTTTCTTAGGAACTTGTTACTTCGTAGTCTCAAAAACAAAGACTTGAATGCTCATTTTAGGATCTTCTCTGGTTAGTTTGTTTGTCAATAGAGGGAGCTTTTAATAATTAAAGCTGTTAATTACTGATTTTACGGAAAAATACTTGAGAACATCTGTTTTTGTGAAGATATCAAAACTGCTGATCTGTTTCTGCTATGGCAGATTGTATGCAAAGGCTCCTTGTTCTGCCAGCTGTTTGGTCAACAGCAGAGCCTGCAACTGCATTCATAAAAAGGAAATTCTGTGTTAATTCTAACCTATCTCTGGATTGAAAGATACAAAACGAAACACTGCAGTTTTAAGAAAAACGATCAAACCATGTGAGCAGTTCTTTGTAAATGAAGCTCCAAATACTGTCAAAAACTGCCTTTGGAGAAACAGACCATTCACTAATTTGTAGGGAGATTTTTAGAGAACATACTTTACTCTTCCTGGCTCTAAAGCGTAGACAATAACACTTCAGTACAGTGAAATAAAATGCCAGTGAAAGATAAGATAAAATGAAATCAAAACTCTAGCCACTTTTTTCAATTCCAGACCATTCCTAGGCTCAGTGGAGATATTATTCCTACAGAAACTGAGTCACCTCAATTGCCAAGGAGTAAGAGACTACCAGAGTTATGTCACATCCCTTTAGGTTAGCCAGAGTATCTGCTACTTCCACCAAAGAGTGACCAGTGAGAAGGATTGGTCACTTAATGTTTTACAGCCTTTTAATATAATTGCTTAATCGCAATAATAAATAAAATTGGTGATTATTCTTGTTGTGAGTAGAGCATTAACAGTCTGGGAGTGAGAAATAGACAAGCCTATCTAGGCTCCTAAATAAGAGACCTAGACTGGACAGATTTAAATAGTGGTAACCAGTAGCCAGGAACAAATTCAGAAATGAGCTAGAAAATCTTCACAACAACATGTGCATTTCAGAGAACACAAATAAACTATTCATAAACACCCTACTGCATGTTTTCTATAACTTTTAAAATATAAATAAATTTAAAATTATGTTCTAAAAATGTCAGAAGTTGGCATAAGACTTTTGAAAAATAGCAAGCCCTTTTCAGTGGTTATGTCAATGAATCAAAGCTCTTCATATATCAAAAGACCTTCCAGTCTTACAGATGCTTTCTGATATTTTCACATGCCATTGGCAGCCAATATCAGCTCTATCCAGCCCTGATACCCATACACACAGTGGATGGAGCAAGGGAAACAGGAGCTTTGAGTTTGGCTGTTGTAATATCCCACCTCTGTTTGTTGTCAATCAAACACCAAACACATGAAGTTGCATTGATCTCTGTAGAAATGAGGAAAATCATATTCTATGCAAGCTAGACTAGGTGATTTTTTGTGCTTGAAATATTAAGGGAAGAAGACCAGCCTGGCTGAACAGAAAACTTTGCCTGGAATGCAGGGGAAAAAGGTCAGTGTATCACCTGTGGGAGACCATTGGCAGGATACTCAGGAGGACTACAAGGATGTCATGAACTGCATGCAGTGAGAAAATTGGAAGGGACAAAGCCCAGCTAGAACTCAGTTTGGCTCCTGCAGTAAAAGCCAACACAAAATGTTTCTATAAATACAAAAGGAGGGTTAAGGAGAATCTCCATTCTTTATTGTATGCAGGAGGAAAGACAATGACAAAGGATGAGGAAAAAGATGAAGTAGTTAATACCTTCTTTGCCTCAGTCCTGAATAACAAGACCTATTGTTCTCTGGGTACCCAACCCCCTGAGCTGGAAGACAGGAATGAGAAGAAGAATGAAACCCCCACAGTCCAAGCGCAAATGGTCAGTGACCTGCTATATCACTTAGACACACACAAGTCTCTGTGATCAGTTGGGATCCACCCAAGGGTCCTGAAGGAACTGGGGCAACAGCTCACTACTTTGTATCATTTACCAGCTGTCCTGGTTAACTGGAGAGGTCCCAGTTGACTGGAAGTTAGTAAATATGATGCCCATCTACAGGAAGGATCAGAAGAAGTATCTGGGGAACTACAGACCTATCAGTCTAACCTTGGTGCCAGGGAAGGTCATGGAGCAGATCATCTTGAGTGCCATCATGTGACATGTACAGAACAAACTTTGACACTGTTTCCCACAGCATTCTCCTG